AAAATATGCATCATAGAAATCCTTTGGTGAGTTATTTTGATATTTTAAAAATAAAAAATGTTTAATTTATATGTATTGATAGAACTTTTTTAATTATGTTAATAATTGTGTTACAAGAAGCATTGCAAATTAAAATATAAATTACATTCAGTTTTGTTTTTGCATGACAGATACATTGCTGAAAAATCTGTGTAAAAAAGGAATACCTGTAAAAAAGGATACTGTCTATATGAAAAATGGAAGATTGGTTCCAGATCCTAAAATCCAGTAAAAATAACACAATAAACCAATTAATTTAATAGGATGTGTTTAAACAAAATATTTCAATTTAATTAAATTACAGTAGGGACCATTTTAATTAACTTACCAGCAGCATTTAATAGATTTATATTAATTGCACAAATTTAATTTTAATTTTATTCAACTTTTCAGTTAAACATCAAAATATCTCTAAGTTTTAACCAATGTTCCCTCTAATTTTTTGTATAGCTGTGCATGCTGAAATGCAACTGTGCAAAAATTTTCAGACAAAATATCTGATGTGTTCACATGAATTTTTGCTTAGAATTCATTTATACTATCTCCCAATTGTCCAGATTCATCTATACTATACAAACTATTTGGATTATTATGATTGTTTATAGATATCCTGCTGTCAGCTGTGTGCACAAGAAGTAAAAGCACCTGTGCAACTTCATAGAATTCAATGTGCAGTTGTGCATGAGTGCAACTGAAAGCATTGCTTTTAATACCAAATGGCATACAAAAATAATTCCATAGTGAAAGAATTGGAAGAAATGCAATTATATAAACAAATTGTCAAACTTCAAATAATATTTTTTGATTGTTTCAACTGTGGGATAAACTTGGAATGAAAAACCGAATGTCATTACATATGTTGAAATGAATTATAAAAAAAACAAGCAAATCTTAATATTTATTTGAGCATATATAGCAGCTTTAAATGCAAATTCTAAGAATATTTTTTATAATTCATTTTTTAGAAAAGAAAGTATGAATATTTTACTTAGGATTAAAATTAAATGGAAGTGTTTAAAAAAGCAAATTTATTGAAATATATTAGATGAAAACAAAACATATAAAAAGAGAATTGAGTTTTTCCAGACCATTTTAAATCAAAATTATGTAAAAACAAAATTGATTGTATATATTAACATTAAATAGAACGTGCTCAGCAAAATACTAAACAATAACCAAACACCTTTATCGTTGCTGAGAAAGTTTATTTAAAACAAACATTTTCGACCTATTCCATAGGCCATCGTCAGGTTGAAAACGGACAATTGGAAGATTTCACAAGATATAAGTATATATTAACTGCAAGTAACAAGTTTATCATAATTTTCATATTTTAAATCAAAATGTTGTACATCACACAGTTATTGATAAATTTATAATTTTATTAAAATTATGTACAAAAACGAGAGAGGAAAATATCTAACTAAATTTAAATATTTAAACACAAACATATAATGTAATATTCAAACTAAATAGTGAAAATGGTTTAAAAACAATTTATATATTTAATATTTTATAAGCTGTTACATTTATTATTATTTATAAAAAATAAAAATTTTGGGTTATGTTTTATATCAGCTTTATAATTAATATAGAATGATTGAAAACTTGTTATACAGTGTTCATAGAAAGTTATGCATCCAATTTGAGTACTGTATGTTGTATGCAAATTTTGACATAAACAGTTATTATGGTATAAACTGACAAACTAACTTTTATTTTGGTCTCACTAATTACATCCCAAGGAATCCTAGGAAAAAGTCGGAAAAATTCCAATCAAAAGTTCCAATTACAAAGTTGTTTCTTGTCCTCCAAATAGTAAAAATCACTTTTATCTTAATCAGCTTTCCTTATAAACACTTGAAGAAAAAAAGGCATGAAAGTACAGCTTCCTGAAGTAATGTTGCCTCTGCAGTAAAAAAGTTTGTTTTAGCACACAGACATGAATACAAAGCTTTGAATAAAGTACAAAAAATAAACTTAACTTTCTTTGTTTACATGCATTCTATTTAAAGTTAAATTAAATTAATTAATTTAAAATAATTAATAAAATATTAAAATTAGAAGCAATTATTCATTTCCATAAGTAAAGAAAATTAATACTTGATTGCATGCTATTCTCTTAATTAGTTGTATGTTCTTTGGAACTTAGCATAAAGTTGCTTTTGAGAACAAATCATACAGGAACACTCCTTTTGATGGAAAAAGTAGATTTATTTTCTACAACCAAAATATTTTATTTCTACAGTTTTACTTATTTTATCCCATGGTTTTAATAATTAGTTATTTCAGCTGTCACTATAATTATTTTTAATTTTTACCGATATACATAATAAAATAGACTGAAGAAGGACATAAAGCCTGAAATGCATATCCATTGTAAATTATAGGAAATAAATCTACTTTTTCCATCAAAAGGAGTGTTCCTGTATGATTTGTTCTCAATAGCAACTTTATACTAAGTTCTGATGAACATACAAAGAAAATTAAATTAAATTAAAGCAGTAGGAGACCTTATTTATCAATCAACCCTCATGTATGCATATATGTACTGTATATAATACACAAGGGTTGAGTGATAAATATAAATATAAACATATATTTTATATATGCATGCAAAGGATGAAGATATGTTTAAGTTTGAACTCATATCTTGTTCAAATAAAAGATATGGTTTTTATGAATTTTATACATATAAATTATTGATGAAGTTATTTTTACATTGAGTATTTAAAAATAAATCCTTTTTTTTTATTCAGCTGAGTTATGCAAAAATATTTGTGTCAAAAATCAGTCCAGATCTGGAAGGCCGATGGATATTCCTTGATGATGATATCATTGTACAAGGTTAGATTTATTTATTATACATTGCTATATGTGAAATTTTAAAAAATTAAATTTTATGAATATTAAATGTACAAGACTAGGCCAGAAAGTAATGCAACAAATTTTTCCTTTAAAACCTGTTAAAAGATCTTACAAGATCTTTTAACATAGGTTTTAAAATACTTATACCCTGCTGGTCCAGTTGACCTAGTTCCTTACCTGTGTGCTGACTGATTTAAGCAATTTTACAGTATTTTCTACTGAAAATAAAAAACGATTGACTAAAGCTAGGTAAAAAGTAAAAACAGTTTCTGATATTGGGAACATTTATCTGTACATTACTCAATTCTGATGTATTTTTATGCATTGTGCTTTAATGTCATTTGGACTTGTTTTAGAGATAAAGTTACAATGAAAAAAATTAAAAACTGCAATATAGCTTTAAAATTTGTATTTTTATGTATGAAATATATAGTACATCAATGAATTTATTCATAATAATGATGTACTGTATCAACATTATTAGTAGACTTTTTTCTGGTTGTTTTTCATAATTGAGTTGGTTTGGCAATTGTACAGTACTTATGTACATTTGCCGAATATAAGATGGCATTAGCACTATCAGAAATATAAGAATTTGACTTTTGTATTGATAATATTTAAAAAGTATATAAATTATGTAACATCATATAAACTATATAGGTTTAAAATAATAACAAAATTAGGTGGCTTATTTGTATTTTTTAAATCTCAGTTAGGCCTAAATCATAATTGCGACATTTTAATCAGATGAATCAATATAATTGGCACTATATTTGTTGATTTTTTATTAATGAATTTGAACAATTATTAGTTAGTATGTTAATGCACCATATCTAAACTTAACTCATATATAAAAAATAAAACTTGATATTTGCTTGCAAAATATGGCGACGAAACTCTGAATAAGACAATGATTGTGGTTGTACGAAATCACTTATATTTCAAATTTCTGAATAAATAGTGCCCACTATTTATTAACAGACACTAAAATACACAAAGAAATCGTATTTTCATTGCTGAAAACATAATGTTAAGTTTTAAAGCTAGAAATAACAGGATATATTGAGAAACATAATATTACATTTTTTGTTTTTTGCGAAGGAATGCGGAAAACGTAATATTACATTTCTGGCAGGGTAAGTATTAACATATCTATATTATAGACTCATCCAGACTTGTAATGGTTTAACTGAGAGATGAAGTTGGAGCCTGACATATCCATGCTAGATTCTACATGAAAATTTCTTGAGGATTTGATAGAAATTTGGATCTAGGCTACTTGGAATGCAGGCAGATATCTTTATCATCTGACCATCATATTTTTTTTTAAATAAAATTTTATCTTCTATACTATTAATATTTAAAAGTGTAACATATTTCAAAATTTATTGTTGTATATAATGTATGTAATCTATATGCATAATTTTAATTAAAAATATTTTTATTACTTTTCTAATTTAAGTAATAAATTTATATTTAGGTGATATTTTTGAATTGGCAAATGCCACAATCTTAGAAGATAATGTAGGAGCTTTTTCATATGAATGTGATGTCATTTCTAAGCAGTACAATTCACTTGGTGTGAGTATTTAATTAAAATATTAGAAATAGTTATAGAAACTTATTTACTTTATTTTATATCAAATGGCCATAATATGGTTTGTGAGTTGTATGCAGCTTGCAAGAACCTTTGATATGGCTTTCTTGGAGTTATATAATGTATTTCATTATCATTAAATCTTTAGATTTTTGAGAAAAACTATTGAGGAAAGCTGATGTATTATTAAAACTGATCATTATAAAAAAAAAGAAAAATTATTCTGTCACACACAAAACTGCAAATAAAGTAAACATACTATGAATTGTAGTATGTTCCTTGGAACCTAGCATAAAATTGCTATTGACTTGTGTGATAAACAAAGAAACACTCCTCTTGATGGGAAAAGTTTTTATTTTCTATATTTTACAAAGGATATTCATTTTGGGCCTTATGCCTCTCCTCAGTCCTTATTATGTATGATGGTAAAACTAAAAATATAACTAATAGTAACTACTGGAATAACTAATTGTTAAAAGCATGGGATAGAACAAGTAAAACTGTAAAAATAAAAGTTTTTGGTTAAAACGTAGAAAAAATTGACCAATAAAGGAAGTAAAAATATAAAAACNCATATTTACAGTGAGGTATAGGGTTAGGTTCTACATAAGTGAAAAATAAGCTAATAATTTTGTTTATTAATACAATATAATACAAAATACATATAAATTTTTAATTTTTAAAATGTATTTTATCATAAAATAAAGTAAAATGTTTTTATTTAAAAATTTTAGTTTCGAATTTCTTACATTTTTCGGAAAAAGTATCCATCTTTAATTGTTTACATTTTTTATTTCTTTCATTAAGAATTTCGGAATATGGTCAAATATGATGCTCCTTTTTACATTTGCACTTCGCTCCCAACATTGTCTAACTCACAAAGTTCATTCATCAAACTTTCCTTAGTTGAAAGGATACGTTAACCCGACATAGAGCTACAGACGAGCGAAGACACTGATTGGTCGACCACTGGTCGCCATAGCACATATATAAGGTCAATTTGAGTGGGAAAATTCAAGGTGGCTAAGAAGAGATAAATATCGTCTGGCCAACGAGAAGTAGATTTGTCTCACTAACGATAATTTGTGATCGCCGGAAGTGCTATTGCGTTGTAAGGTGTTTTCCTGAACAAAATGGTACAGGATACATTCATTGGCGCTATGGATTCGGACGCCATTTATTGGACAATTAAGTTTAATATCTTGACTCGTGGGTACCTAAATGTTTAGTATTTTACTATTAATTTAATGCAAATGTATACATACCCAATAATATTAAACAGAAAAAATAAATATATTCAATAAAATTCTTTGTTTTAATGAATGTACAATGTCGCGGCTCGGTAAATACGTCAACACTGAAATGAAAATCAGTCTAGCATAGTGAAAATCGGGGAATTACACCTCGAAACGGCGAATTGTGCAGCGGCGTTATTGTGAATCGGCGTAAACCGAGGGCTACCTGTACTAATAATACTAATATATTATAAAAATAGCAGATTATTATTGGCAACAGCAAAAGAGTGGAAACATCATTTGCACTTATTCGCAGAAAGTCCGTTGTTCGCCTAATGTAACTGCCGAATGGAAAGTCCGTTGTTCGCAGCCAGTCCATTGCTTGAGTCACATAACGGCCAAACATAAAGTTCGTTATTCGAGGCATACATTATACAAGGCACCACTGTATATCCAAATTATATAAATAATCAAATGATAAAGCCAGATTAACTATTGGTCTAGAACCTGGCTAATTGATTATACTGATGTGTAATATCCTTTATAAGCCAAACTTTACATGCCTGTGAGGTCACTCTGGTCGCTCAAAAAATCCAGTTACAACTGATCAAATATCTTTATTTTTTCTTTTCAGTAAAACACATGTGCATTTCAGATCAAAGTGTAATTAATGATTCCTCTTCAGTGTTACTGTATAAAACATAACATTAGTTTTCACAAATGTTTAATAAAATATTTCTTATATATAATTTTTTACTTTTAATAAAAACACAACCAAGAGAATCATTCCAAATACAATTACAGTACAGTCATATCCCGGACTTACGTGATAGGTGGGACCGAGCGATAACCGCGTAAGTCGGGGTATAATTTTGCATATAAATACATACAAATTATTTTTAATTGGGACCGGAGACTAAAGAAAACAATAATTTAGAAAAAAATGTTTAATAAAATCTTAGATAATACATATGTATAACAAATTATATTATTATACAGTTTTTCCATTAACTTGATTATCAAACCATAATTTTAACATTGTTTCCATCTCAGCGATAATACCGTGACGTTTACGAATGATGATTGAATTTAAAGATTGAGAATTTTTTACAGCTTCGAGAATTTTTTCTTTACCTTTTATAGTTGTTCTGACCGTCGATTCTGGTAGATCAAACTTCTTTGCCAATTTACAAATTTTCATTTTTGTATCGAAGTCTTTAATAATGTTAACTTTACATTCTAAAGATAAAGTTTTTCTTTTCTTGTTTGATGCAGAAGAATCAGTTCTACTTTGTTTGGATGACATAGTAGAGTGTTAAGATTAATCATATTTGTTATTGTAAACCGCGCTTAAGTTAGGCGCCATCTGTTCATNTTTTTAACAACTTTTTACATTGATAATTTAAATTATTATATTTCATATTTTTGAAATTAATTAATTGTACTTTTGTACTTGTCTGTTTTCATTACATTGTTTGCTATTAATTAATTGTTGTGGATTGTATAATGCTGCTAATAATTCTGTGAGTATAGAAAAATTGAAACTGTGAGTTTGATTTATTGATATCTTGTAATATGTATGTAATTTTAATTTAATTTAGTTATATATATTTTATCTATAGGAGACCTGCAAAATTGTAATGTTCTATAATTTTATCTTCCAATTAGTATAATTTGAGAGTAAAAATATACTGTAATTGTAAATAAAAATAAGAACTTATACTGGAATGAATTATGCATGCGCATTTCAGTTTCTGTTTAATTTGTATTTCATGTGTTCTTTTTTAGTGTTCCTTTTTAATATTGGTTCAACTGAAGATGGCCGTTTAAAAACGGTTAAAAACGTTTTTATTAAACATTTTTTATTGCTGGATAGTTAAAGGTTTATTTTATTTATATTATTTATTCATTCTAGTATAAGTTCTTGTTTTTATTTATTTATTTATTAATGGCTACGCCAGCCAAAGAATATAGAAGAATTGTGCTTAAGCTACTGTAATTGTATTTGGAACAATTGCCTTCTCTTGGTTTTATTTTTATTAAAAGTGAAAAATTATATATAAAAAATATTTTATTAAACATTTGTGATAACTAATGTTATGTTTTATACAGTAACACTAAAGAGGGATTATTAATTACACTTTGATCTGAAATGCACATGTGTTTTTATGAAAAGAAAAAATAAAGATATTTGATCAGTTGTAACTGGATATATTAAGCAACCACTGCGACCTCACAGGCATGTAGAGTTCGGTGTATAGATGATATTACATAATTTATGCTAAAGATAGATAGTTATGCCATTAGCTTGTATCTAATTTAATAATTAGAAATAAATAAATAAATTTAGACTATTCTGGAAGAAAGGGACATGAACCCATATTTTGTTTACCATGCTTATGGGTTCCAATTGTGCTATTCTTGCTGCTATTCAATCTTCACTTTTAGGCTAATTAATTTACAAGATATAACCATACAGAAGACTTGTCATTTGTATCAAATTTAATACAAGACGGCTGCATAATAATTTATCTTTAGTCCAAATTACATAATATTTGTATTATTAATTAGCCAACTTCTAGTTTAATAGTTAATCCAGCTATGTCATTTGATTTTTAAAACTTTATTATATCATATTTTTAATTGTTAAAATCTAAGATAATTAGCTTAATTTATAATTTTTTACTTTCATTTGTCTATTTCTAGAAAAACATGTAGTATTTAATACTGATATGATTGACCTTGTTTATTAGTTTTTGTATCGAGTTAGTTAGCATGTGTAATTTTAACTATTCTACACTGTGCAACATAACTGTTTCTTCTTGTTCATTATTTTATTCTATTTGTTCAGATATTCAAATATATAACTTTATAAATCACTAATAGGTGACAACAGATTAACTTTCATAATCAAATTCATTCAAAAATTATCTAACAGTTGATCAGTACAAGTGAATTCTTTTAACTGATAGTCTATAAAAACTTATTACAAAAACTCTGTGAAGTATGAAAAATTCTGCAAGCTATATTTTCTAATATTGAAAAGAAATGTTGGATTCCATATAATAATGATAACATTGTCAGAAAGTATAAAAATACACAGGTGTAAAAAACTTAAGAAGGGACAACATTTGTACATGAATAGAGAGAACTGTATATGAATGCAGACAAATAGAGCAAGAACTGTATTACTTGACATCTAACACAGAGTAATACACAAAAGTTTGTGGAATTTTATAAATCATAGGAATAAAAGTAAATCTTTGGTAAAAAAAGGATGCATACAGCAGTTGGATATAAATGGAGAAAGGATGGAAAGTGCTTACCAATAACCTGTCAGTATGGAATGTGTCCACCTTGAACTGCAATACAGAACTCACAATGTCATAGCAAGTTTGGTGACTTTTTCTAGCTATCACCACTAACAATTGTGTTTATCCTTAAGTTTTGGACATATGTACATTCATGGCATATATCTCTGTAATCTTTCAATAGAGTTTAATAATTTTCAAGATTTTTAAAAATATTTTTGTAGATCCAATTAATATTCAGGATATGTTGAAATTTAATTTTAAACATTAGGAATGACAACATGTGAATGACTTAAAATACATCAAGAAATTTTAAGTAATTTATCGTTAATTTTGCTGAGTAAGATATATTAGAAATTACAGTATTTATTATTTTCTAAATCAATTAAATGAAAAAATTACTCACCACTTATTATTATTTACTTAAGAAATGAAAAG